GGGGGGGGTGACTCTGAGGGCAAAGTGCCCCCTACTGGGCCATCCACTCTGCTCCCTGTAATCCAGCACCGGCTCAGAGGGATGAGCGCCCCCTATTGACTCAGCCACACTGCGTTCTGCAGATCTGGCGTTATTTATTATTGTAGGACTCCCACCCCCCCGTGCTAGGCGCTGCACACACAGTGACAGTCCGTGCCCGAATGAGCAGACAGCCATAGGGAGAGGAGACAGACGGGGAAGGGAGATTATATTGACCGAGCCCCCACCGCCCACCCCCCAGCTGTGTGTTTGCAGGCATCATGGCAAAAGCCCAGCTGTTTGGTGGCGGTTTTGGGGGGCTCCTCCCAAGCAGGAGGGGAGTTCAGGGGAAAGCACAGAGGGGCTTCCTTTGGAAATGCAACAATCGGGCGTTGGGGGCTGGCGTTGCGGGCTCGCTAGTGAATGGGAGATGACAGGCCAGGCCGGGGAGGGTCTTGAAAGTGGAGACAATAATAATCCCTAGTTCTTAGCTACTGTTGTTTATAAGCAAATCTCAAAGCACTTTTCCCAGCAGAGTAACGGCATTATCCCCATTGTACAGATGGGGAAACCGAGGCACACAGTCACCCAGAAGGCCAGGAGCAAAGCTAGGGCTAGACCCATGGTCTCCCGCAGTCCCAGGCAGGGCCCTGCTCCTTGATGTGGCAGAGACGGGCCCGACCCTGCAGGTCTCCCCTCCTGCCACGGCCCCACCCAGGTTCACGTCTGCAGGTTTAAGCCCCATGTGGTGCTGCAGCAGGGTGGAGGATGGGAGGTTTGCTGTCCATGCAAAGTTAGCAGGGCCAGGAGCCCACGGGCCCGAAGGCGGTGAGCAACGCAAGCGCTGCTCCGGGTGGAGAGGTCAAGCAAACACGTCCTGTCCGCTCCCGCCTTGCAAAGCACCTCCAGGCGATTAGCCAGGGCCCCGCCTAGCCGGCCCCTAACGCTTGACCTGCTTGACTGGATTTTTTTAGTGCTGCCTGACCAGAATGATTGATAATTGGCCGGCTCCCCCGGTGCCCGGACTGCAGGGGAGACATCTGGGAGATCACTTGTGGACACACATCCACGTACACCTATTACACACTCATGTGAACACACACTCCCATGCGTGCACACACGTACACCCCGCCTCTCGTCAGCACACACAGAGATGTACATAGGCGCATGCACATACTTACCCACAGAATAAGCAAAGACATTCATTCCCACATGCATGTGTGTACACACATACATGCATGGGTGTGTACACGCACGTATTGGCACATAAATCTATAGACGTGTATACACACATGTATGTGCAGACACCATACATAACCACATGCAAGCACAAATGCACACAAGCATGTATGTAGCACATGTATACACCCCCCATGTTTGCAACCACACCCCCCCCTGTACGCACACACAGTCATACGCATACACTCACACGTGCCCACCTTCCCGTTGCAACTGGCTGGCTTCCACTGCCTCCCTGCCCCAGGCAGCC